TTCTGCCTGCCATCCATCGTCAGCCCAATCAGTCGGATCCCCAGGCCGGGTCGACCCAGCAGGGCCATCGCCATGGACGGCCAGGCCACCTCACAGCTCACACCCCACATGTCTGCCTTAGAGCCGTGAAGCCAGTCCATATCAGCGTGCCTGAGCCTGCGGTCGCTCTGTCTCTTGGGGTCCCCTTGATGCTCCTGCAGAGCTGCCAGGCGGCACCCCCAGGATGGCTGGGGGGACCCGGAGAGGATCGGCCTCCTGCCCCATCGGGCTTGGCTGGAGCTCCTGGCAGCACGGACCTGAGGTCTCAGCGCCTGCCATGGTCGTGAGGTTCCCGCCCCGAGCCAGGAGCTTGTCCTCTGGGACCCGGGACCTGGCACAGGTGTGTGGGGAGGCCAGAGCTTGTGCGCAGAGGAGGAAATGTTGCTCTTGCCGTTGTGGGCTTGAGTCCCCTAGTCCTCTGGTCCGGCCGCCCACCCCCACGGTTCCCTTCTGTCCTGGACGCGGACAGAGGTACCCGCCCACCGAGGCTGGCAGCTCGGGCAGCTCCCCGCCCACGACGCCATGCCCTGAAGTTATCCTGTGGATGTCTGTGTTCACGGCTTGAATGTCATGTAACAAACAGAAGACAGTTTGGGCTTTGCTTTCTGGGTGGACAGCCTCTCCTGTGCAGGTGGGGGCGGGAGGGGCTCACGGAGCGTCCTCACCACAGGCTGGGCTCAGGCCCATGCTGCCCTCAGGAGGCTGTGCAGGCGCAGGGGCTGCGTCTCCAAGAGGTCCCAGCCTGCCTGGGGAGGCTGCAGTCAGCTCAGGTGCTGGGGGTGCCAGATCGGGGGGTAGGGGGCTGGCCCACCTGGCTCACAGACGCCCCTGCCTCACTGTGTTCCCCTGTGTCCCCCTCACTGTGCCCCCTCCCTGTGTCCCCCATGTCCCCCTCACCGTGTGTCCCCTCACTGTGTTCCCTTGTCCCCGTCTCCCCCTCCCTGTGTCCCCCATGTCTCCCTCACCGTGTCCCCCATGTCTCCCTCACCGTGTGTCCCCTCACCGTGTCCCCCATGTCTCCCTCACCGTGTGTCCCCTCACTGTGTCCCCCATGTCCCCCTCACTGTGTGTCCCCTCACTGTGTTCCCTTGCGTCCCCCAGGTCAGTGGACAGTGAGACCCTCTCTCTGTACCACGGCCCCACAGCATCGGCGCTCTCCTCTCACTGCCCTGCCTCCTCTCTGCTGTCTGCCTCCAGACGCCGTCCCCAGGCTCGGGGTCTCGCCGCCCGGCACCCGTGTGGGGCAGGTCCGCTGGCAGCAGCCCTTGGGCTGTGGGCTCAGCCCAACCCCGGCTCCTCCTGTGCAGTGGGAAACCTCGGTCCCCTCCTAGCTGGACGTCACCTGACCGGGGGGACCATGCCGCCGGCAGGTGCTTCCAGGGCCGAGCCCACCCACCCACGTGCGGTGTGGACACTGGCCATCCTCCCGGGTCCGTCCGTCAGGAGAGCGCCTCTTCTCTGCCTCCGTCACTCTTCTTGTCCATTCATCTCTGTCTGGATGCCGAGCCAGGTGTCCTGAGGAGAGCAGACAGGTGTGCCAGGACCCCGCATCTGCCGCACGCTTGCCTGAAAGTGCCCCCTGGGCTGACTCACTGGGTTCCGTCTCAGTCACTGTCCCGGGACCATGCGGAGCCCCCAGGGTGGGCAGCGGGTGGGGGGGTCATCTTCTTAAGTACACAGGAGTTTCTTCCCAAAGGGCGTCGTCGAGATGGCCTTGTGCTGGGGCTTCAAGGTGGGGGTGACCCCGGTGTGCAGACACGGGAATACGTCTGAGCGAGGAGGCCCCGCTCGGCCGGGTCACCGAGAAGCCGGAGCTGGGGGCTGCGGGTGCGGGGGCACAACCTGGGTCACGTCCACCCAGTGTGGTGGGGACTCGGGGACCCCACAGGCTCACGACCTGACGCCAGTGCCCGCGGCCGCATAGACGCCCACCGAGGCAGGCAGACCAGCCGCGGCATTTCCCCACAGCACCTCCAGAGCAGGTGGGGCGGGTGGGGGGCTGGTTAAAGCGTTCTAGGGGCACCTGAGGAAGGAGGTAAGCCCGCCCTGGTGCCAGGCTGAGAACCCAGCACAGGAGGGAAGCCCCGAAGGCGTTGGCTTAACCTACCAGACGTGCTACTCTGAGGCCCCAAGCCCTGCAACCGTAACCGGAGCCATCTGGGTTGTGCATGTGCCAGAGTGGCCGCCAGGCTTGTCGGGTGATTTCAGCGCCATTGCTGCCCAGTCGGAAGGCCCCGCCCCAGCGCGCCCCCTGCCACTTCCGATTGTCCTGCTGCCCTGCTCGCTAGGCAGCATGGTCCGTGGAGCCACAGCCTGGAGCCCGGACCACCCCAGGCAGGCGGCCGGCTCCTGGAGTGGCCTCGCCCGCACAGGAGCCGCCTCACACCGGGCTTCTCGGCGGGCAGCAGGCAGGCGCATCACGGGTTCTGTGACCCGTGGGACTGGCGCCTCCGTCAAGGCACCTGGCCCGCTCTTCCCACCGCCTCTCTGGGATGTGGGGCTCAGGGCAGGAGCCCCAGTCAGGAGGCACGCAGGGCTCAGACCCAGTCGAGACATCTCCTGAAGTGGCTTCCATGTGGGGCCCCAGGCTGGGGGAATGGTGCTTACTGCAGAAGCCCTGGACTGTGGCCGCCGCTGACCACAGGCATGCAGATTGGAGGGGAGGGGTTGCCTCTGAAAGTGGTCCTGCGCACACGCTCGGACATGGGGCCCACAGGCACACCAAACCTTGGGGACCCAGCCTGGACTCAGAACAGTCCCGGGCCCAGCGCGTGCCCTCCCCTGGGGCTGGCGGTCTCTGCATTGGGCTGTGTCCAGGTGGGGAAGTAGCACACCCACTTGGGAGGGGTGGGGCTTGCAGACTCACCTACGGGCTGTGAGAGACCCGCCAGAAGGAGCACACGGAGTCTCGGGAAACCCGCATCCATAGGTCTGCAGGAGACCTGCAAGAAGGAGGAGACGGGAGTCACGGGAAACCGGCACCCTCGGGGCCGCAGGAGACCTGAAGGAAGGGGGACACAGAGTCACGGGAAACCCACACTCATGGGACCACGGGAGACACGTACCCATGGGAGACCCACAGGGCTGCTGCGGGAACCAAGACCTGTGGGTGTTTCCCGACCGATCCAACCGGGACAGCTGGCCCTTCTCTGTGTCTGACCGGCAGCCAGTGAGGCATCCCTGAATCCTGCCCCGTGACGTCTGGAGCCCCTCATACAGAGCTCTGGCCAACTATGCGCTCGAGAGAGAACTCTCTCGCCCAGCAAAGGACCGCGAGTGCGGCCTGGGCACCGGGCAGGCCAGGGCTGCAGGAGTCGGCCTGGCGGATGGAGACCAGCCAGCACTGGGAGTGAGGATGCCTGCCGTGCCCACACCTGCCATGCTGGACACCTGCTGTCCAAGGATGCCGGGACACCACAGCTTTCCACCCGACGTGACTTTGGGGACGTGAGTGACCACCCTGGCTCTACCTGCAGGAGGCTGCACGGTGGCCATCACCCGCTGTGCTTCTCCCTGGCCTTCCAGCTGCAGCACTGCCTGGGGACCCAGTGCCTCCCTGCCCGCACAGGCAGGAAGAACAGAAACAGGGCTGGGGATGGGCCACAGGGAAGGCAAGACCGAAGAGAACGATTCCACTGGGCATCCCAGGCACAAGCCAGGACCTGGCAACACTGAGTGGGGTCACGTGCTCTCACGTCAGTGTCCCCGGGTCTCAGCCACGCGGCCACGGCGCTGCCCAGGCACGCTGTGGATGGGCTTCGGGAAAGCCAGTCCTGGTCCTCCAGACTGCTGTGGGTTGCAGGCACCAGCCATAACAGAGAACAGATGTGCACCCGCACCGGCTCGAGACTGTTACAACAAAGCTGCGTCTGAGAGAGGACCTTTATTTACTTAAGGCAGAGGCTGGGTGCGTGGAGACCCACAGGCTGGGATGGTGAGGGGCGTTCCCTCCACGCGGCTCACCCCGCCGCCTGGAGGCCAGCAGCACACACATGAAGAGGCGAAGACATGATCAGGAGGGTCTGGTGACAGTTTGCTGTCCTTCCTCTGTCCGCGCACGGCAGCGCCAGCCGTCTGTTGTGAATTCAAGTGTGCTGTCGCCAGTTGCTCTCCGGGGAACGCAGCCATCAGGGTGTCCCTTGTGAGCGTGTGCGTAAGAGGCAGGAACCAAGGAGAAATGAGACACAGGAAATGAGCGGGCGGGTAGGGTGCACCGCCACGGTGGAGCCCAGCCCACCACAGACCCAGGGCACGGGGCTCAGCGCCATCGGGACCTGGTCAGGCCCACAGCCTGGAGGGAAGGAAGGGACCGTCCATTGCCTGTGGTGCCACTTCCCAGCCCGGCTTTCCGCACCCTGGGGGTACCCAGAGGCACTGCGAAGGACCCTGTGACCATAGTCATGCGTTTTCCCCTGGGAACGAAGCCGTGTGCGGGAAGGAGGGCTGGCATTCTTGCTGGTGTAAAAGCATTTCCTTGTCTAGCGAAGGCTTCTCTCCTGCAGCAGATGGACACTCACCTTTTCTGTTGGATTTTTACTGACCTCTGAGCGCCATCTTACTCTCTACTCAAGTTCACCCCATGTCAGACATTTATCAGATAGGATGTCGGTAGCAGCAGAAACGCAGTAGTACATCCAAGTTAAAATTTTCACTTTGATTGCTACAAATCCACAGGCCCTTGGGTCCAGGCTTCTGCTGCAGCTCACAGATGGGTTTTTATAGCACATTAGTGCCGCAGGAGAGTCCAAGGAAAACAGTGCTCTCGGCCTGAGAACCAGCTGCAGCTCTCCCGAGCCGATGACTCACACCCTCGTTTTAATTGGGTGGGAGAACCAGGCAGGAGACACATAGGGACTCAGTCAGAGCACTGTTTGTTTTCGGAGGGTATCCTAGCCACAAGCCCGCCCCGGCGCTCCCATCTGCAGCTCATGTTTATTTAATTTTTTTTTTCCTCCTCGCAGTTCCAATCATAAAAACGGAGCCCAGCGATGATTACGAGCCTGCCCTCACCTGTGGACCAATGAGCCAGGGCCTGAGCCCGCTCCCCAAGCCTTGCTACGGCCAGCCGCTCGCCCTGCCACCCGACCCGGGCGCCTGCCTCATGCCCGGCTTCCCGCCCCGTCCGCAGGGCAGCGCCAGCCCCGAGCTCCACGACCTCTCCTGCGCCCCTTACGGCTCGGCCACAGCCGGCCCTGGCCACAGCCCTCTCGGACTTCCGCGGCAAGTCGGCGGGGTCCTCGCCGGCCAGGAGGCGCTGAGACCCTCGGGCGTGCCTCCCGGGCCCCCCCAGCCGCCGCCTCCCACTCTGCTGCAGCCACAGGTGAGTCCGAAGTCGAGCGGTAGCTGCTCCCCGGGGTGCCGGCCAGCGCTCTGTCCCCACAGCCCCTCCTCTCCGCTGCCACCCGGGACCCGAGAGCCGACCCGCCTGCAGTCCTGTGGCCCAGCGCGCCCCTGCGGGACGGGCCGCCAGCAGCACCAGCCACCCGAGGTTCCGAGCAGCGAGCCCACCACCGCCCGGCCCCCGCCGCCGCCCGAGGTGCGTGAGGACAGTAATCGTAGTCTGGCCCCCATTCCCGTAACGGTCAAGCGAGAGCCTCAGGAGCTGGACCCGCTCGACCTGGACGACGGTAAGTGCCCGCCGCAGCAGGCGCACGCCCAGCCCTGGGCTGAGGGGCCCCGGCCTGGAGTGTGCCCACTGCCCTGGGAGTGTGCCTACTGCCCTGGGAGTGTGCCTGGCGTGTCTCACGCCAGAAGGTCCTGGCGGTCAGCAGTGCCACCGTTGGCCAGTGGGGGACGCCATCCCCGCCCAGCGGCTGCCTGTGCTGTGCATCCTGGGGGCACGTGGTCCCTGTGGCGATGTCAGCTGTGCTGACCACGGTCCCTAGAACACGGCCTCCACCAGCTGAGATGTCCCATGAGGACAAGAGGCCTCTTTGGACTCGGCTGTGGGCCCTGCTTGTTGCTTAGCGTCTGAAGTGCCTCTGTAGTTGCATGAACCATCATTAAATGGTTAAATAGCTAAAAGTGAGCGGCTTTCACTCTGTTCAGCTTGGGAAACCTTGTGTTCTGTGCGTGTTTGCTGTCACGTCCAACCCTTTGCAACCCTAGACTGTAACCCTCCCGGCTCCTCTGTCCATGGGATTCTCCAGCAAGAACACTGGAGTGGGTTGCCAGATCCAGGGGCTCTTCCTGATGCAGGGATCAAACCCACATCTCTTGTGTCTCCTGCACGGGCTGGCGGGCTCTTCACCACTGTGCCGCCTGGGAGCCCAGTGATCAGATGGGGAGGGGGGCAGCACTCCAGCGCACCCACCCAGCGCAGCGCCCACTCTGCAGGGGCGAGTTTGGGTGGATGTAGGGCATGCTTTCGGGATGCCTGCAGTCAGGTTGATGATGCAGACTTTCTGACACGAGGTCTTCCTGTGAAATGATGGCAGACGGCACCTGGTCGAGAGATTTATTCTCTTGCTTTGGGACAAAATGCCAGGGGCCCCCAGGTTTTGTCACTTAGGTGACTCAGTGCTCTTGTGGGCCCCACATGGCGCATCCGTGTGGGCGTCTGGCCTCTGTCAGCCAGCAGCCTGTCTCCCTGGTGTAAGTCACTCCCCAAGCAGGGTATGACCCAGCGCCCACCTGCCGCCCAGCTCCCTGGCTGCAGGACTCGGGGAACCCGAGAACTGCAGGACAGTCCTGGGCACAGCCCCACACCCCCGCCCCCTGTCGGCCACCTTGGCCTTTCTGCCTCCACCGTGAGGCTCCTGGCCTTTTCCCTGAAATCAGAGCCAGACACGTGGGCATCTTCCTTCCATGACTGCCGTGTCCCCCACGCCTGTGTTCTGCCCCAGGAACCCTCCAGGGAGAGTCGCTGGGTGTGTTGTCCCAGGCGTGGGTACAGGGCTCCCAGCACCCACCCTCACCCTTGGTGCCCATTCCCACCTGAGGTGTGGGTACAGCCAGACCCAGGGCACATGGGCCTTCCTGGTGGGGACACCTGGTCACAGCCCCCAGCCCAGTGACCGGGAGGGCCCCAGGCCTGGCAGTCCCCATCTGCTTGGGTGGATCCCAGGATCCCGGGCCTGGCAGGTCCCCGTGTGCTTGGGTGGATCCCGGTGCCCTGGGCCTGGCAGGTCCCTGTCCACTTGGGTGGACCCCGGGCCTGGCATGTCCTCGTCCGCTCGGGTGGACCCCGGGCCTAGCAGGTATCCATCCGCTCTGGCAGCCTGGGGCCCTTCTGGTGCCTCTCCGGCTCCTTCCTCACGCGAGCTCACCGGCTCACGAGTGTTCTTGTTCCTAAATGCTTGCTTCACAGCAGGCGCCCCCTTTGCGGGCTGTGTTTGTGGGTTCCTAGAGAGGTCATCTCTGCTTACCCTGGTCCCACCCTGGGACCCACTTGCTCACGGGAGCTGCCATGTATACATGGGTCAGCCCCTTGTCAGTCCTCAAAAGACCGTCTGGTGCAGAATAAAGGCGTCATCAGCATGGGGACCTGAGTCCCCAGCCTGGATACCACAGGGGTTGGGGTGGTTCTCACTGGTCCTCTCTGACTGGGATGGTGGCAGGGGTACACAGATGTCATGGAGTGGGTGGGGGCCTCGAGGGATTTCTGTAACGCTTGGATGACTTAAGTGGGCACCAGTAATCTAATCCCTCAATGGCCTCAACTTTACACGTCATATATGGTCGAGGTATCTGAAAATTAATTTGTGAAGAGGGTCGGCATCCAGGGGTATGCACAGTGTGGCCCTGAGGCCTGAGCCCAGGAGCATGTGCGGCCCCGAGGCCTGACCCCAGAGCCGTGCGGTGCAGCCCTGAGCCCTGTGGGGAGAGGGAATCTGTGGGCTGCGGCCGATCCCTGATTTAGAAACAGACCCCTGTGAAAGGTCTGGAGGGGGTTGGGGCGATGGTTGGAATTCACTCCAGGCCATGTGAGTCTCTACTTGTGTCTGGGTTTGAATTTGCAGCCCAGCCCAGAAAAGTGTAGACAGAGAAGATGGAAACAAGGGTGAACAACTAAATCAGAAAGTTAGAAACCATTGGTTTCAAGCAGTCTTGACATTAACAAGCAGACACTCCATCTTTGTCATTTGAGCCCAGGAAGAGGCGAGAAACGGGGGTGACTGACGGTACAGACCAGGGAACTAGGATGGGGCGGAGGGTGCAGGGGCGTGTCCTCCCTACAGGACAGGGGAGCTAGCTCTGATGGCACTGGGGGGCCTGCTGTGCCCTCTCCTGGGCTTTGTCCTGCGAGCCCTGGCACCACCCCCAGGACAGGAGGGCCCGGCGTTTGCTGCGGCTCTTGTGGGGAAGTCATCCTCACACAGGCTCAGGAACGGAGCAACTGCGCGTCTGACCCCACGGCGACGGTTCAGGGCACTTCTGCCAGGTCAACCCCACAGTGATGGGGTGACTCCTGCCAGGCTGTGCGCCCTCCGCACTGGGCTCTCAGAGGCTCTGTGCTGACCGATAGGAGTTGGGGCTATGTGGGCTCCTCGGGCTTGCTTGTGATGCTAGTGGTGCTGGGCCTGTGAGCAGTGAGAGTTCATTTCATGTGTGTTCTGGTGTTTTATTTGAGGTTTTTGTCTCCCAGAAATGTAGAGTGAAAAGGGCAATAGTAGGATAGTATGTCCAGTTCCAGGGAGCCAGGGCATTTGGAGCGCATAAGTGAATCTTTCAGAGACAGGAAAGGTGCGGTACCTTAAACAGGACGCCCATGCTCCGTGCAAAGTGAAGCCCTACACACAGCGGGTCCGTGCTTGTGCCAAATCTCCGTTTGCTTCGAGGACATGCCTCGAGTGAACCCCATTTCTTTGTTTTTCAGGTGTTTCTGCTGTTGTATCAATAGTATCTGGCCCATAAGTTACTTTGGTTATAATTGATTCTTTGGTTCAACAATATTCATGAAATTTAAACTTTTAATTTGGATTTCTCAATCATGGCGGTATCACTGGATATCTTTTTTAAAAAATTAGCTTTGTGATCTCTTATTTTAAATGTGGATTGAATGTGTCATAAAAGCTACAATGTTTTCTCGGTGATTTCCATGACCTGCCCCTCTCTGGGCTGAGCTACACAACCACCCAGCAACTCCCCCTCTGGGTGTATACATGGCAGTTCACACATGTGCACAGTGATCTGTGTGTCCTGGACTCGCTCCCCGGGTGTGCACATAGTGTTTCACACACGTTCACAGCAGTCTGTGTGTCCTGTACTCGCTCCCCGGGTGCGCACGTGGTGGTTCACACACGTGCACAGTGGTCTGTGTGTCCTGTACTCGCTCCCCGGGTGTGCACATGGTGGTTCACACACGTGCACAGCGGTCTGTGTGTCCTGTACTCGCCCCCCGGGTGCACACATGGTGGTTCACACACGTGCACAGTGGTCTGTGTGTCCTGTACTCGCCCCCCGGGTGTGCACATGGTGGTTCACACACGTGCACAGTGGTCTGTGTGTCCTGGACTCGCCCCCCGGGTGCGCACATGGTGGTTCACAGACACGCACAGCGGTCTGTGTGTCCTGGACTCTCTCCCCAGGTGCACACATAGTGTTTCACACACGTGCACAGCGGTCTGTGTGTCCTGTACTCGCCCCCCGGGTGTGCACATGGCGGTTCACACACGTGCACAGCAGTCTTTGTGTCCTGGACTCGCTCCCCGGGTGCGCACATGGTGGTTCACAGACACGCACAGCGGTCTGTGTGTCCTGGACTCGCCCCCCGGGTGTGCACATGGTGGTTCACACTCACGTGCACAGCGGTCTGTATGTCCTGTACTCGCCCCCCGGGTGTGCACATGGTGGTTCACACTCACGTGCACAGCAGTCTGTGTCCTGCACTCACTCCTTGGCTGTACACGTGGGCAGTTCACACTCGCGTACACACTGATCCCTGTGTCCTGGACTTGCTCCCATTGACGTGGATCTGCTGGCAGCATTGTGAACATCCCTGAAGCTCCGGGGCCTGTCCCATCTTTTCATGGGGGGCCCTAAGTTGCTGACGTGAGGACCCGCTTTGTGAGCCAGCGACGGTCTCAAGGTGTCATTTGCTGCTGCCGACCCCTCCCTTGTGTCCCCCCAGCCCACCCCGCGGCCTCGGCCACAATCGGCCCTTTCAGGCCCCTCCAGGGGTCTCGGGTTTCCAGAAGTCTCGATGTCATTAAAACAACAAGCAGGTGGAGCAGGCGGCCAGGCCGTGTCTGCCTGAGTCTGGCTTGCACCCCCCTCCCCCCGCACCCCCCTTCTTTCCTGAGCTGGGGCTGCTCTGGGAGCGAACGCGGGCTTTCCTCATGGAAAGTTTTACTAACCTGGCCCAGGGCCCAGCTCTGAGGCCTCCCCACTCCTAGTGATGATTGAAAGAGTCTGGATCAAACACGCTGGATTGTTAGACGGTGGGCTCTACCTGCTGGGCAGAGGGTGCACTCGGCCATGCACGGGTCCTGAGGGTCAGTCCTTAGGGCACAGCATCCGGAGATGGCCGGGGTGGGGACTACCATCAATCTGATGACCCACAGGCCTCATCTCCCAAGACAGGAGTCCCGGGAGCAGAGCCCCAGCCCCGCACCTCCCAGCACTGAGAGTCTGGAAGGGCACAGAGCCCTTTCCACACTCGGCCCTGGGAGCCTCGCGGGGACAT